CTGCCTGATCTCTGATCTTCTGGTTCTTCTGCTCCTTCCACCGTCCCAAGTCTCTTACGTTACGGAGCCACTTTAATAGAAGTTTCCATTTTAGATGCTGTGGCCTGGCTGCTTTTTGTTCCAGCATCTGCCTGAGAAAGAAAACAACAATTAAACTGTAAATATGTATATAAAAAAAAAAAACTAAACAAAACCAAAGTTTCTACCTCAGGAAGACTAAACACATGTTGACTCACATACATATCCATATCCAATATGTGTGTGTTGTGTTAATTTTTCCCACTTCAGCAACAGAAAGCATTATTGAGTACATAATTAAAAATGGTTTTAACACAAGGTTAAGTTATATTCTGGCAAAACACTGCAATATTACTAGGGCTGACACCGAATAGTCGACGATTCGATGCTTCGATAGGAGGAGCCAGATTCGATTTAGGACAGTTTATACGCAACATTTTATAAATGAGGCCCCTGATGAGTTCACGTCAGGCAGCCACGGCAGTCGCTCTGCAGCCAAACAAGCGCGTCTTGTTGCTATGCCAACATTTGAGAGCTGCCAGAGCTGTAGTAACTTTACCTTTGTCGGCGACCTGCTTTTCTTTTCTTGTTTGATATAAACTGCTTTGAAACTTTTCAACTAGAGCTCTGTGCTGAGATTTGAGTGGGGACGTGATTTGTGCAGTGTGTCGGTAGGTGACTTCTCATAATAGCGTGGCACTTTTTTTTTTTTACTTTTTTTTTTTTTTTTTCCCCGTTTTCATTTTCAATGGGTTTTTTTTTTGTAACGTTAGTGATGTAAAACGGTATCCTGGTTTCTTTTTTTTTTTTTTTAAGCCAGCAGGCTTTAAAAATCAAATAATCAATTTCTATTTGATCATCGTTTCCTTTTTAGACAATTTCCCATAAGACCTCACCGAGAATCATGAATTTACAGCATGCAAAATGGAGATCAGAGCACCACAGCAAGCTCAGAGAGGACCGTCTGTACAAACAGCTTCTGAATAATGCAAGCCAGATCCTTTCTTTCTCCGATGAAGTTATGGACGAGATGGGGGCCATTTCATACAGAAAAGCTGACTTTAGCTGGCTTTTCCATGCCACGGGCCCCTTAGCACCAGGTACCAGATTAAAGAAAATAAAGAGGCATGAGAACAATGAAATACCCTGCAACATCAACTGTTTAACCCAAGAAGAAGGCAGAATTTCAGTACAGGCTCCTGCAGTGAACAATAAGGTACCTTTCATAATTCTTAGTGATCAAAGCAAGATGTATGATGCGTTTAGAATAACAAAACCGTTCAGGGTGTTGAATGTGCACACCTATTTGAAGGAGTCCTCTACAGAGGACTGGGAAGCCCAAAGCAGCAGGTGGCAGGAGTTTGCACAAAATAAGAGGAGTCAACTATTACAACTAAGAAAACAACACAGGTAGTACTATTACTTTCATCAAAATGGTTTTCTAAATATGGCACCCTTAATGGGACAGTCCACCAAATTTTTTTTTTAAAAAGTAGAAAAAAAATGCACAGGTTTGTAACTACATGTGTGTGAGTAAATGATGAGAATTTTCATTGTGGACTATCCCTTTAATGCATTCACTTAGTCCCAAGGCCGAAGCCACACTGTATTTCACATAGTTTTGTTTTTGTGGTGTCTGTCCTTATTTAACAGGATACCTGGTTATGTGCTCTCTCCAGTAAGCACAGATGTGCAGAACCGCTTTAATAAGACCGCAACCACTGTGACCACCAAGCACATTGAGATCCCACAGGCCCCTCGGCTACAGGATATCTTGAATCCAAGTGCCGGCAGTCATGTCACAAAGAACGTCTCTGAACAGGAGATCTTCTCAGGTAGACTTACATATGAATCTTGAATGTGACTGTTTACTTACAGTTGAAAGTACAGTATTAGTGTTAATAATGTGACATGGAAAGTTGAAAGGTTCATATGTGGCTCAAATATTTATGTTTCTGGATCCATTTGCTTTAGCAGGAACTGGTAGAATTGTAAAAGCGGAGCAGAGATGGATGGATCAGCCTACCAAAATTGACTCTGCCCTCAAGCAGGTTCTCAGACCTCCTGACTTCAGCGGACAGGATCCTGAGATGCCCAAACAGTCTGTGGCTGAACTTTCCACACTTCGTTATGCAGTTGATCAATGGAGGAATGCCTGCAACATCAGTAGGTGTTTCCTTTCTCAGCTCTGTGTGCCATACCTCTGCATATCTTATCAATGGTTATATTTATAATCTATTAAGAAGTTGCACTTTAATTAAAATTTGGGGTCAGTAAGAATGAATACTTTTATTCAACAATGATGCATTATATTAATCAAAAGTAACAACAGCAAAGAATTTTACACTAATAAAAATGTTGCATTTTGCTTTAATTTAATCAAAAGTTTCCACAAAAATAGTATGCATCACAACTGCTTTCAACGTTGATAATAATAAGAAATGTCTTTAGCACCAAATCAGCATATTATAATGATTTCTAACGGATCATGTGACACTGAAGAAATGGCTTCTGAAAATTCAAATAGAAAACAATTTTAAATTGTAAAATATTTCCCAATATTACTGTGTTTACTGTATCTCTGACCAAATTAATGCATATATAATATAATTTAATATAATGCAAACCCTTTTAAAGCATTAATTAAATTAAATTAATAATAGTATATAATATTACACAAAAAGTGACAGCTAATTCCTTCTTTGCTCAGGTCAACATGGTAAGGGATGCCAATTGAAGGCAGATCCTCAGGAGCTGCAGGCTCTCATTGTCTTGGCACTTGATGACCCTGTGAAGAGAGTTCAGATGGCTGCTGCAGTGTGCCAGTATGCCATGAGGACACCTAACGCACGCGACAGAGACATACTACAAAGCACTTTGAAGCAAGGTCTGTGGAAGGATACCAATGCCTGAAACTAAAAATGTCAATTAAAATAAGCTTAATTAACATCACAACAAACATTAATGTCACAGGTAAAGCAGTCTTTTCTACTGTTGACTCGAAATGACCATCATGTATTATGACTCAGACCCTTCTGGCACAGGTGCAGACAGCTGGGTGGCGGCACAGTGCTTGGCGATAGACGGTGATACGAGCCAAGCTGTCATACAGAGACTCTTGTCACAGCACTTTCTCAGAGACGCTCCTTCAGATCACGAGCAGTCTATGATGCTACTCTCCAACATTAGCAGCAAGACTGTGAGTGACTCTCTCAGTGATTTTTGAGTAAAAGAAAAATGATTTATGCATGCACTAGGTAAACTAGTTTATCAAATTCACATAAAATCAATTTTCATACACCACAGTTTAAAGGTTTGGGGTTTGTAAGATTTTATTTTTGAAAGAAGTCTCTTATGCTCACCAAGGATGCATTAATTTAATCAAAAACACAGTAAAAGAGCAATATTGTGAAGTAGTTACAATTTAAAATAACGTTTTTTATTTTAATATATTTAAAAATGTAATTTATTGCTGTGATGGATACTCCAGTCACATGATCCTTCAGAAATCAGTCTAGTACAGTGGTTCTCAATTCCAGTGCTCATGTACCTCTTATCACTTCAGACGTTTGTTCTATTCGACCATAAGTGCCCTGCGAAGTGGACATGACGGGATATTCCGCCATGATTCCAGTTCGAAGGGACCGTATATGTTCCATTCAAAGGGCATTAAAGTGTGCGAGATGTGATTATAAATTGTATTTATTTACAGAGGTATATTACGTCACACTTCTCTAGTAAGTTTCATCTGTCTGTGAAGACGCTGCAGGCCGTGGCGTAGCGCAAATCCGTGAATGAATGTTCCGAAATGAAGTAAACTTCAACGGATTTCCCGTGCTCAGGGAGTAGGGAGCAAAGAACACTGTGCAGATATGCAGACCAGGACCATATGCTGGAATTGAGAACCACTGATCTAGTATGTTGATTTGCTGAATTTCTTATCAGTGTTGCCACTTAATATTTTTGTGGAAACCATGATTTTTTTGAGAATTCTTTGATAAATAGAAAGTTCAAAAGAACAGCATTTATTTGAAATAGAAACATTTTGTGACATTTATAAATGGTTTTAGTGTAACTTTTGATCAATTTAATGCATTCTTGCTGAAATCAAGCGTAAGCGTTAGTTCTGGCAGGTCACGTTAGTCAAGCTCGCATCAGCTGACTCTCAGCTGATCCCCATCTACCTATAGGAATACGACACCTTTCTAAGCATTCATATATAAGGTCCCTCAGTATTATCAGCATTTTTCGCATTGCTCAATAGCTAATTACCCTCCTCCATCCCCAACTCCTCCTCTGTCAGTCAGGATTCAGCCTTCTGATTCTCCTTTGAATTAGACTAATTCTAAATGTGTACATTACATTTTTTTACTTTAATGATATCTGCAATACATTCATGCTGGTTCTGTTCTGTTTACCCTGGGGGGTTATCACTGCTCTCCCTGCTCTTATCCATGCTAGGCTGCATAGACGCGCAGGGAGTTCTTGCCCAGAACAGAACCATACCGCCAATCCAAACTGTATGCTAAGTGTCAGTCATCTTTGACGATAGTGGTCCTGACAGAATAAAAGTATTATTTTCTTAAAAAAAAAAATCTTTATACTCAAACTTTTGCATGGTGTTTCCCATCCAGACACTAGTGCGCTCACTTCTGGCAGAAGAGTTAAACAGTGCTAACTGGAGAACACGAGTTCAGGCCTGTACTAGCATTGCACAGCTCAGAAGTCCAATAAACAAGGTATCACAATGTAATTCTTTTGCACATTTCAAACTGCTCTCTACCTATCTAATTTCTCTAATGATTGTAGAAAATACTAGAATTGCTTTTCATGCAGGATCTTTGCAACAAACTGATATATATGATGTGGAACGACTGGAGCTGTGCTGTTTGTCATGCTGCAGCGCTGGCTCTGAGTAAAATGGATGCAGCCAGAGAGATGCACAGTGAGCTGAGGTGACTATCTCTACCCAACAGACACATCAGAGGGTTTGGATTCAGTTCTTTCTTAACATGCAATATCTCCACAGTGCGAAGCTGGAGGAGGGTCCAACTGCTTGGCGGGTGGAAGCGCTGATCTTCATTGGTCAGCTCAATATAATGACGCCCAAGCTACTGCCTACATTCCTGCGGTGCTTTAATGATGACTTTGTGGCTGTGCGCAAACAAGCTTGTTTGACTGCAGCATCTCTAATGATGGATGACCAGTTGGTGAGGAAGTAAAGCAGCTGTGCAGATGCACAATAGATCTTTGATGGTATATGGACACTAAAAGACTGTGAAAAAGAAATTGAGGGTTCACTCGAATGACCACATAAAACATGTTCACAGGTCCTGGATCAGCTAATTAACCTGATGCAGAATGATCCATTATGGGAGGTGAAAGTGGAAGCAATTGATGGTAAGCTTGAAAATTAATTTAAAGGAAGAGTTCACCCAAAAACGAAAAACTGCTGAAAATGTACTCACTCTCAGGCCATCCAAGATGTAGATGAGTTTGTTTCTTCGTCGCAACAGATTTAGAGAAATTTAGCATTACATCACTTGCTTACCAATGGATCCTCTGCAGTGAATGGGTGCCGTCAGAATGAGAGTTCAAACAGCTGATGAAAATCTCACAATAATCTACAAGTAATCCACACAACTCCAGTCCATCAATTAATGTCTTGTGAAGTGAAAAGCTGTGTAAACAAATCTGTTTTTAACTTCAAACCATTGCTTCCAGCTAAAATATAAGTCCTCTATCCATATTATCCATAACGTCATCTCATCTGAATCAGGAGAGAAATCAAATCAAGCACTATTTACAAGCAAAAACCATCCAAAACAGTTATAAACAAATGGCAATGGATTTTGATGTGAGAGGACAACAGGGGGAACTTTTTCACTGGAGGAACCATTATTATGGATTACGAACGGATGATTTCAAAAGAAGTAATGTTTTAAAGTTAAAACGTTATTGGTGGACTGGAGTTGTGTGGATTACTTTTGGATTATTGTGATTGTTTTTATTATTGTGTATTGTGATTGTTTTATTGTGTGATTTATCAGCTGTTTGAACTCAAATTCTGACGGCACCCATTCACTGCAGAGGATCCATTGGTGAGCAAGTGATGTACCGGTAATTCTACATTTCTCCAAATCTTTTCTGATGAAAAAAACAAACTCATCTACATAAATTTTCAACAAATTTTAATTTTGGGGTGAGCTTTTCCTTTAATAATTTAATGTGCAGCCATTTTTGTATGATTGCATGATTGTAAAGCGCTTTGGGTGTACAGCCATACACAATAAAGCGCTATATAAATGCATCATTCATTCATTCATTCATTCATTCTGTGTCTAATAATGAATGTTACAATTTTTATTATTACATTAAGGAATTATTATTCTATAAATTAAGCTTTAGGGAAAATAGGTTGGATGAACCCAGCTCTCCAGGAGTTGCTGATGTGGGCTGTACACCATGAGGAGGAGCCCAGTGTGCGCATTGCTGCCTGTAAGGCCCTGAACACTTTAGATGCAAAGGGCCCAGAATTACAGCATTTTCTACAGGATCGTTATGCACTGGAACCCAACGCTGACGTGCAGAGGCGAGTACTTAGATTAGGCCACAATCATTACTACAAGTAAATCCTAAGTAAAATTGTTTTCTGAACGTACTTTAATATTTCTTACTAAGGCACATTGAAAGTCTTCTGAAAAAGCATGGATACAATCTGAAGGGAAACGAAAGCAAGATTCATGAGATAAAGCTCCAGGTTAGTGCACTTCAATGTGTTACCATGGCTTCAAGCACTGAAGCTGCTGGTTTATTCAATGCATTTCATTCTAGATCTAGAACAGGGGTGGGCAAACTTGGCCCTTCCAGGCCACTTTCCTTCAGAGTTTAGCTCCAACCCTAATCATTGTCTTCAAGACTACTAGAAGGCTACAGGCAGGTAAGTCATATCAGGGTTGAATCAAATCTCTGCAGGAAAGTGGCCTGGAAGGGCCAAGTTTGCCCATCACTGATCTAGAACATCAGTTCTCAACCTTTTTGAAAGGCCCCCTATTGCCCAGCACAATAATCAAATTAATTAACCACAACTGAGTTTGTGATTCCAAAAATTTCAAGAACTGTTCTTTAAAAAAAATGAAATAAACTGTCCTTCAGTAAAAACAATAGCTATTGATGAACAAATTTTCAGCTTAACCTAATTTTGTTTTTTTAGCATTTAAATTTAGAGTTAGATTATTTTAATATATTAATAATAATTTATTAATTTAAATACTTTTAAGTCATCCTGTGGCCCCCTGGTTGAAAACCATTGCTCTAGAAATGAACTTCTAACACCACACGAACTACTCTTTCTCTCTTGTTCTGTAGGTGGAGCTGTTGTGTACAAAACACATCATTACACAGAAAGTGCTCTTAATGGAAGAGAGGGGAAAGCAGCAAGAGCAAAAATTATTGTGCTGAATTTATGGTTGTCCTGCTATATCAAATATTATAAAGCCAGAATCAAATCTTTTAAGTTGTTCCACCTAAAAATCATCCACTGCAGTCGCAGACAATCAAGCAAGCAGGCAAGTAATGACCAAATTGCTTTGATACATCAGGTATAAAGCTGTTGACTACTTATTTTACACTGATGGTATATTAAGGTATCAGCAAAAGGAAAGTATATGTAGTGCACAAATCATAAAATACATAATGCTGGTTACAAGCAATGAAACCCTGAGATTTTGGTTTCAAATGTGGAACATTTATTTATTATTATTTAACATAAAATTACAAAAGAAAAAAAACACACATAAAATGAAGCATGTCTCAATATTTACATATCGCTGCAGTATATACATAATCCATGAATTAAAACAAATTGAATCCGTTTTCTCTAAAGATGCCTGTTAACAACCAGTAGGCACAAGGTGAAGATTAGTTCTTTTTTTATTAATTTAATATCCACTAGTATCCTGACCAAATGGTAGGTGCCATTATATTTGAATTTTCTGAAATTCTTTATCAAATGGACATGTCTTTAATGTTGGTCTGTAGATGGCCTCGTCGCTTAAGAACTTGCTTGTACAGGTTCTCAACTTCAGTGACCTGAGCCAGCAGTTGAGTTCTGGCATTGTTCTGATGGAGAGGAGTTCAGAAAGAACAGTTAGAATATGCATTCACATTATAAACTTGACAGGTTTGCTAGAATAAAGGTAAATCACATATAGACACTGGTTTCAAAGCATATCACATATTTATATGAACATTTAACCACCACAGGTCTATATATTTTTGGTTCTAACAAGCACATTCTTGATGTTTAATCAAAAAACATATGCTGTATATACATATACACTTACCAAATTACTCAGATAACTGTCAGTGGTTGGAATTGCTTGAACCATCTTAATTTTCACTTCCAAGTTCTGAATGAACTCCACCACCATCTCCATGAGCTCTACAACATATCTGTACACAAGGTCATAAACCGTAATCAATACTGTTAGCAATTAATTCTATACAAATATACAATTAAAAATATTGAACGAAAACCACTTTCTTTGAGTGGCACATTAAATGCATCGGACCTGTGAAGATCAGCCTGAATGGGCAGGTTCTGCTGACACAGTGGTTTTGTGAGTCTCTCTCGTAGGACTGTCTGTTCTCGCAACACTTCCTGAAGGTGGGAAGTGAACTGTTGCAAGGAAGCAAACCTTTGACCTTACAACAAAACAGTCATTAGTAAAACTACACTCTTCTAGTATACAAATTGTGTACACCAAATGTGCATGATTCCATTTGCAACACTTACTGAGATAATGAGTGTGAGTGACGTCTGCACCGTCTCTTTCCAGCTTCAGCAGCTCTAAATCTAAATTAGTCTTAAGTGAGTGGATGACAAAAAAGAAAATCATGTCAAGGGATAGTTCACCCAAAAATTTAAATTCTTTCATTATTTCCTAACCCTCAAGTTGACGGTAGCCACTGACTTTCGTAATATTTTTTTCCATACTATAGATGTCAATCTCTACCGTCAACTGTTTGGCTATCAACATTCTTCAAAATATTTTCTTTTGTGTTCAACAGAAGAAAAAAACTCATACAGGTTTGTAACAGCTTGAGGGTGAGTAAATGATGACAGAATTTGAATTTTTGGGTGAACATTGCCTTTAAGCTTTGTAAATCAGAAAGATATTAAGTGGTTCAATAAAAAATATTAAGTTTGTTTTCAACCTTATCGAGATCATGTCTAATTCTGTTCAGCTGCTCAGCTTCAAGTAAAGCTGTGGAAAAGACTTCTGAATCCCGTGGGAGAGCATCGAGCTCCTCCTATAAGATCCATAACACAAATGCTTGACAATATCCACCATTACAGTTTAAAAATCTATCTCAAAATTAACCATGTCTTAGTTTACCTGTGTCATGGTGCCTGCTGTTACACATCTAGCTAAAATCTTAGCAGCAGGTGTCACCGTGTAAGTAATGGGGTCCCAGGGATTCATAACAAGCGCGTTTCCAGACCTGATGGCAATTAAACAAACAATGAAGCCTAAAAAATGTGGGTGTTTCTTCAGCTATAGGCATTTTCATGTGTAAGAGCTTGATTTATATTTTTTTTATTAAAGATAACAGATTACAACTTCTTATTTATAGGTCCTAGGATCCCCTAAGGGGAAATAGTGACATAATAGAATAGTTTAAAATATGGGAAGGGAATAAAATATTTCAATGGTTTAGCGTTGGCCCACAACACTTCTGCGTTCCCCCGAGAAACTTTCGGTCGAAATGTATGTATTTTTCCATCAGCAAAGTTTCTCTGAGGACGTAAAGGTGTTGCAAACGAAAACAAAAAGTTTAAAATATGATTTTTAAAAGGTCGCCGTGTACATTTAGGGGCTCCTTGGTCCACTGTTGGAGACATTAAATTTACTCTCAAAATATACAAAACATGGTTTTAACTTAAAACAATGAACTCTCAGTAATTACTTAGCTTGGTTGCTATGTTATGCTAATATAAAAGCTACACTGACTGTGTTGCTGCGTGACTTATGTTTTTTCAAAGCGTCCAGTATTTACTTATCGTTCTTGAATGAGATGTCCTCGATCCGTCTGATTTTGACAAAACGTCGTCGTTATTTCAATCTACCGCCTCTTTCTCTCTTAAACACTAGCACAGCTAACGTTACGCAAACGTATTATAGGCGTAGATATCATAAATATAAGCATATATTCGCACGTTCTCATCGTTAACCCGAATAATAAACATATGATATACAGATCATAGAAAGAGTAGCGTGACGCGCAATGCCACTTCCTATGTTGTGCTACATTCTCAGGTACGCAGATTCACAAATACCCACAAAGAAGAACAATTCTGCACTATACGTCAGTTATAACCAAACTACAAAGTATATATAAATTGTCCATGATGGTCTTAAATGCATGATTTAAATAATTTCTGAATTTAGAATTTGTTGAATCAGCAGGCGTGGAAACGTAGATCACTTACTTCAACAGCAGCGCGCCATAGCGGTCTGCGCAGCGATTCTGTCATTAAATAACGAACTAAATGCATTAAATAAAAAAAGAACCAAGCGTTTCTGCAAAGTTAGGTATAGTAATTTTAGAGAATCAGTCGAAATTATAATATTCGCGGATAGTTTGATGAATCGTGATGCGGTAAGAAGCGGGTCACACAGTGACAACAGTCCTCCAGCGTAACAAACCCCAGGTGTCACTGTGCTAGAATCACACTAGGACCGTCTGAATCGATTTCTCGTGTGCAGCTTGTGTTTACATTAAGATACAGCAAGAGAAATGTCGGCTGCGGCACGTATAGCAGCGCCCGGTGTGTTGTCCCGGTTCCGCGGCGCTCTGGTCGGTTCGGTGTTGGGCGACTGTATAGGCGGTGAGTTTGAAGGCGCGGTGGATGTACCCTTAGATCGAGTCCTTCAGCATCTCAGCGCTCTGGAGGATGAAACACGGGGCGATGGTGAGTATTTCCGTATTTTACGATTATATTATACATTGAACATATTTACTTACGCGTGTATGTAATATTTAACATTACTATACTATTACCGTATCAGAAGGCCACATACTGAAATGAAATATCAAGCTTTTGCATGCCCTAAACTCTTTGGTATTCCTCATTTAGGGGTCACAATTGTGAACCTTCGCGGTAACGTTTTGGTGACATAATATACTATATTTTGTTTCAATAATATTTATTCTTTAATATTTTGAGGGGATTTCATGGTACCAGGCAATATTCACGTTTAAATCATGCACCATTTTTTTTGCTATATAAAAAAAGAACACAAAAAATACCACAGTTTTACTTTCATTAAACAGTTTTGACTATGAATCTAATTGTTTCTTAATTACACATCTTATTCACTTTTCCCCCAGGAATTCTTCAGTACAGTGATGACACAGCCATGATGCGATGCGTTGCAGATTCACTCCTCACCAGGATGGCGTTTGATGAACGAGACATGGCTCGAAGGTATGTTATCATTGGAAATGGCTAAAAGAGTCCTTTTAAGCAAGTGTTTGATTTTCCTGATCATCTTACTTGATTCCAGATTTGCAAAGGAGTATAACCTTGCTCCGGGGCGAGGTTACGGCTCAGGTGTCATACAGGTACTGCGGAAGCTTGCGTCGCCCCATCTGAAGGACGTCTTCCAGCCGGCACAGGCTCAGTTTGGCGGCCGCGGTTCTTTCGGGAATGGAGGTGCCATGAGAGCGGCACCCCTTGCCCTGGCCTTCAAAAGTCGCGCTGATGTCTGCAAGGTAAACAGTCATCTGATTGTCGAATCTAAGCTAGTAGACTTCAAGCATTCTTGACTTAAAGCATTTTTGACATTTTGAATTGGTCATAAAAAGACTGAAGTGCAGCCAGCAAAAGCTTTAGACTTTATATAATGAAGATTCGTATCATATGTTCTCAACCTGGGGGTCTTAAGATGGCTTAAACATATTTAAATTAATCAATTATTATAAATGTTTTAAATTAATAATTAACTCAAATCTAAATAAGAATGCTAAAAACACATAAATCAACATGTAAAGTGAATCTTTTTTTTTCTCAATAATTGTTGTTTTTACTAAAGAACATACAGTTCTTGAAACACAAAATTAATCGTGGATAATTTAATATGTAAATATTCCCAGTTTCTGTTAATGAAAATGTTTGAAAACAAGCTTTGTCATAATTACATAGGCAGTGTTGAAAATACGGGGTTCGAATATTGTGCTTGAGAGTGGGGGGCCTTCGAGTCAGAAAGGTTGAGAACCATTGTTAAATGCTTAATTTGAAAGGCTAATTTGGACTGTCCCAGGCTAACATTCTGTCCTTCCATTTGCTTTTGGCAGTACTCAAGGTTTGGCGCAATGTTAACACACTCATGCTCTTTGGGCTACAATGGGGCAGCGTTGCAGGCCCTTGCTGTCCATCTGTCTCTCCAAGGCGCTTTGGCTCTGCCAAAAGAATTCATCAACAAACTG